AACTTTATATTTCGGCCACGGAGGAATCTGTTGGTTGTCTCCTACCATAGGACAATGATAGCAACCGCGAGCAGACTACTTTCTACCTAAGTCAGAACCTAAGCTTGGCCAAAATAAATTATTCGGCCGTTGAGAAACTTTTCCTTGTTCTATTCTTTGCCGCTTCAAACTTCGGCATTACATGCTTCCTTCAGTACCTCAAGTAATTGCTTACAAAGATGTCATCTGTTACATGCTTACCCGGCCAATCGTTAAAGGTTGAATTAGGAAGTGGACAATGGCTTTGTCAGAATTTAAATTGCAATATGTACCTCAAAAAGCCATTAAAGGACAGGTTCTGACCGATTTCCTTGCGCAACACCCTTCTCTTTATGATTTTGGGGGCAACGATATGGAAATTGACATGGTATAGACGTGAGATAATTTTTGGACCATGTATTTCGTCAGGTCCAGTACTTCAACATGGGTCAGTGTAGACATTGTTTTGCAATTGCCCGACCACCACCGTTGGTTGTTCAATTTCAAATTGGATTTTGAGTGTACCAAAATCAAGTTGAGTATGAAGCTTTGGTAATCGGCTTTGGTCTCCTCCATGAGTTAAAGGCCATATGAGTTCTTGTCTTTGGTGACTAGCTTGTGATTAACCAAATCAAAGGGACTTTCTGTTGCAAGAGTTGCACTCTGACTCTATATCACATAGTTGCCAAATATTTGGCCGAATCATTCACGGGCATCACCAACAAGAACTCAAGAATATGGCAAATTGTAGAATAGATCGTTTGCTCTTATATCACTTTGTAACGACCCAAAATATTTTTCAGAAGCCAAACTCTGTGGTAGGCCAAAACAAGGCCATGGTTAATCTTCTATTAACCACAATAAATTTCCATACTTGACAATTATTCAAAAAATTCATTTGGTTTAATTATGATGGTGAACTATGAATGGCTTGATGCTGTTTGAGAGTACGTAGGCAGTGTAAGATGGAGGTTAGATGCAGCCATAAAGTAACCAAAAAGAATTTTATGAATAATTGTCAAGTAAAGAAATTTATTGTGGTTAATAGAATTGTGATTAACCATGGCTTTGGTTTGGCCTACCCGAGTTTGGCTTCCAAAAAATATTTTGGGTCGTTACACAACTAAATGACGTAGTTAGCTTATTAGCTATTTGGCTTGCACACCATGTAGGCTAAGTAGCTTTTAGGGTCAATAAAAGTTCATGGCCATGGAGAGACAAATCCCACAAAATCATAAAGGCTTCATAGTATCTTCCTTTTTTTGTAAGTCAGCATGCCATTAATTTGCACAGGTCCCTCCATTAAGAAACAAAATTCTTGGCCACAACTCTCGGCCAAAAGCTACCATAACATTTTTCTAGCCATTGAGGATGCTGCTTGTTGGCTCCCCATTTGTTGACAATGGTATGCACGTCCGAATGATTAAGAAAATAATTGATCTTTATGTTTTTTTAACAAGCGAAAATAAAAAGTGGCTGAACCATAATGAAGAGGACAACAACACTTTATTTTAAGCCCATACTTTCTTATTCCATCATCTTTTAAACTTATTTTGTCCCAAGCTGAGTAACAATCATCTCTAAGTATTACTGATTTCATCAAATATTTTTTATTTCACCATATGTTTTGGATTCCTAGCTCTAAATGCATTGGTGTTGGATTTGGCTAATGTTTTTTTAAGGATAATCTACTAATAATGTACTAAAATATAGACGGTGCAGATCGTTGAAAAGGTGAGCCTTACAAAAGAATTGGAAAACATCAGCTTGAGCTGCCAATATCACAGCACACACAAACAACAGCAGTGCCATTTTTTCGGTAATTTCTTGTTTTTCAAAATCAATGCGGAGTTGGAATTTTTTTTATGCTTACCAGAAAATTCACAAATTGCTTGCTCTTTGCTCCCAACGAATGCTTACGCAAATATTTGAGATGAGAAAGAAAAGTCCACGTACCCATATTTATAGTTGTTTCAACAATGAATGAATAAGCAGTATCCCATTCATTGTTGGAATCCTAAAGGAATAAATCTCCCAAGCTAATTTGCATGTGGTTTAATATAAATACATGCAGCCCATCATTGAAAGGGTAATGCAATTGAAGTGAAACCTTGAGTGTACTTAAGTTTTACATGGTATATAAGCCCTAGCAATCTAACGACACATATCCTCTTTTTTTTCCATGGCTGATTCTAGCAATGGTGCTGCAACCCCAACCCCACAAATTCCACCATGAACCCCTTTTCTTCCTTAACTACAGTTGTGAACATTAAGTTGGATTGGACCAACTATCCTTTATGCCTCAGATTTTACATATTCTCAAGAGTCAGGACCTGATGAATACATCGATGAGACCATTGTTTGCCCTCCCAAACAACTTTCTGGAAGTGTAACTACCAATCCTGCGTACACAACATGGGTGCAACACGATCAAATGATACTAAGCTGGATTAATGGCTCTCTCACGCTATCTGTGCTCTTGGTCGTGGCCAGCAACAGGACATCTCGTGCGTACCTGGGAGGCTCTCGAGCAACTTATGCCTCTATGTCCTAGAATCGCATCTTGTTTCTGCAGAATGAATTTATGCAAACAAAAAAAGGTGATTTGTCGATTGCTGATTATCTTGATAAGATGAATGATATTTCTGATAACCTTACCCTAGTTGGAAAACTTGTGGATGATGATGAACTTGTCCAGATTATCTTGAACAATCTTGGGCCTACTTATGAGGTGACAGTGAACGTTGCTCAGGCACATGATACTCCAATCATGTACTCTACGTTTGAGGTGCTCTTACTGACAACAGATAGGAGAATGACTGAGCAAACTGCTCCACTCATGGAGGCTGCTCCTGTTAATGCGTTTGTAACTACAAGAGGTCGTGGTGGACGACTTCGTGGAAATGGACGAGGAATGTTTCCGTCTGGTCATGGTGGTGCTGCTGGAAACCAACGAGTTTTAAATCCCTGCAACAATAATAACAACAACAATGTGAGACCTAGTTTTGCCTGCAATGGTGAAAAGTTCAATAGTGTAGGAGAAAGGATTACATGCCAAATTTGTGGAAAACAAGGGCATCCTACTCTAGATTGCTACCATAGAATGAATGCTGCGTATGAAGGTAGGATCCCAGCCAAGAGACTTACTTCCATGGCCACATCTCCAATCACTCTTAACAGACAAAACAATGGGCAGTGGTTGCTCGATACTGGTGCCAACGCACATGTCACTCCTGACATTTAGAATTTGGTTAATCCTAAGATGTCCGACTGCCTCCACAAATATTTCCAACGCACATGATTTTGGAATTTCTATTTCTCATCTTGGTTCAAATAAATTACAAACTAAATCTTGCTCATTTGAATTAAAAGATATCCTAATATGTCACACTGCCTCCACATATTATTTATGCCCATAGATTTACCCTAAACAATCACTACCACATACTTATTTTCCCTTATTTTTTCCTTGTGAAGGACCTCAAGACCTGGAAAACGCTTTTCCACGAGAGATGTGAGAATGGCTTATACCCATTGTTAGGTGGTGGTGGATAGTTTAATTACCCTATTTCAGTGTGTAGGCATTCGAGTCTCGACTCAGAAATGGCATTCACGCCTTGGTCATCCTGCCTTGTCTATTGTCAAGTTATTAATTTCAAATAAGAAAGTACCAATTTTTGGTGCTTCCAATGTAACGTTTTGTCAGTCATGTCCCTTAGGAAATAGTACTAAATTACCTTTCAATATTTTGGAATTTTGTTTCTCAATTTCCTTTACAACTTTTGCATTCCGATGTTTGGTGTTCTCCAGTTAATATAGTTGAAGGTTTTCGTTATTATGTGTTGTTTGTGGATGATTATTCTAGATATTCTTGGATTTTTCCAATGAAAAATAAATTTGAAGTATTTGAAATATTTGTGAAGTTTAAAGCACAGGTCGAAAACATGTTTAACAGTTCAATCAAGACTCTTCAATGTGATGAAGGAGGTGAGTATAAAAGTCATGTCTTTCAAATTTATCTTGCAACTCAAGGCATTTCACAAAGATTTTCGTGTCCAAAACACCCTAAACAAAATGGTATTGCGGAAAGAAAACATCGTAACATTGTTGAGACTAGTATTGTCATGCTTTCTCATGCACATATTCCAAATAAATACTGGGTGGATGCTTGTTTAACAGCTACTTATTTAATCAATAGGTTGACAAGTCGTGCTTTGTCCCATAAGTCACCGTATGAAAAATTGTTTGACAAAGTTCCAAAATATGAAACTATTAAAGTGTTTAGCTGTCAATGTTATCCTTGTTTAGTGCCTTATGCACAAAATAAACTCCAACAAAAGTCAAAACCATGTGTGTTTTTAGGTTACTCACTTAATCATCAAGGGTACAAATGCTTGGACTTGTCCACGAGACGAATATATTTTTCTTGCCATGTCCTATTCGATGAGGACACTTTTCCATTTAAGGAACTCACATCTTCCCTAGAGAGTGTTGGACACACAGGTAGTATTACTTCCCCTGACTTATTGTTTACTTTTCCAATTTTATCTCCATCAACACAGGCCAATTCATTACCTCTTACTCAGCCTTTAGAGTCCCTAACTCAACCAAATACGATCACATCCAATATTCCTAATCCTAATCCTAATCCTAATTCAAATCACCTACTCGCAGCCACTACCTTACCCGATCCCTTAGACACGCCAGCCATAATGCCTTTACAAAACTCTAGGCCTACCAACCCATATTCAAATGAGCAAGAGGCAGTACAGTCTCTTGATATGCACCAATCCGTGTCAGTTGATAATCACGGTGCTACTTCCTCAAATCAACATCCAGTGCAACCACAAAGAATGACTACTCGCTTATAATCTAGCATTTAAAAACGTAATCCTAAATATGCTTTGCATGTTAACACTAATCATTCTTAAGTTGAACCAACCTGTTTTAGTCAGGCCATTAAGCAGGAATGGAGGAATGCTATGGTTCAAGAGTTCAACGGATTCCAGCAATGTGGTACCTGGAAACTTGTTCCATATCATCCACAAATGAACTTGCTGCCTAACAAATGGGTATTCAAGATTAAAAAACGTGCAGATGGCTCGGTTGAAAGGCATAAGGCAAGATTCGTTGCAAATGGGTTTCATCTGAAGCCTGGTATTGATTATACATAAACATTCAGCCTTGTGGTGAAGCACAGCACCATAAGGCTTGTTCTCAGTCTTGCAGTTTCCAAAAAGTGGCACATCAAATAATTGGATGTACAAAATGCGTTCTTGCATGGATTTTTGAATGAGGAAGTGTATATGCGACAACTTGCAAGTTTTATTGATAAGCACTACGCTAATTATATATGCAAATTGCAAAGGAGTATATATGGCTTGAAACAAGCTCCTCGCGCTTGGTTTCATCGATTTTCAGAATTTTTGCTCCAATTAGGGTTTCAAGCATCCACTTGTGATTACAGTTTATTTGTTTACAATCACAAAGGTATTTACTTGATACTTTAGACATATGTGGACGATATTTTGTTGACAGGAAATAGTTCACAACAAATGGCTCACTTAATCAAAAAGCTGGGAACTTTGTTTTCCATGAAGGATTTGGGTCCACTTAATTATTTTCTAGGAGTTGAGGTAAAATATGTGGATGATCAGATGCATTTGAGTCAAGCTAAGTATGCATTGGATTTGTTGCAGCATACCAAATTCTTGGATGCCAAACCAATTTCAACTCGTGTTCCTTGTGGCCAGAAATTAAGTGCTTATGATGGTGAGCCATATGACAGTCCCGACTTGTATCGAAGTGTTGTTGGAGCACTTAAGTGTCTTACCATCACGAGACCCGATCTTTCTTCCGCTGTGAACCAGGTATGTTAGTTCATGCACTCTCCAAAGAATACACATTGGACAACCTTCAAAATGATACTTCGTTTATGTTAAGGCCATGTACAACCATGGCCTTCTATACAAACCTGGTACTACACATCTCATGGCATTTTTTAATGCTGATTATACTGGGAATCCTGACACTCGGCATTCCACTGGTGGTTTCTGCATTTACTTAGGCTCTAACCTTGTGTCCTGGAGCTCTAAGAAACAAAAAACGGTGTCTCGCTCGAGTTCAGAAGCTGAGTACTGGCAACTGGCTTACATAGCTGCAGAACTATCATGGCTAAGGTCTCTTTTTCGCAACTTACATTTACATCTTATATGTCCAACAATTTGGTGCGACAATATATCGTCCATTGCCCTAGCTTCAAACCCTGTGTTTCATTCAAGAACGAAGCATTTGGAAGTCGATTATCATTATGTTTGTGAGAAGGTGGTTCGTGGCCAGTTAGTGGTGAATTATATTTGTTCTCAAGATCAGATTGCTGACTTGTTCACTGAAGAACTGTCTTCTACGCAATTCAAACTCCTAGTCTCCAAGCTTACAGTTGTCTCTCCGCCCGTTAGCTTGTGGGGGGATGTTAGACCAAGTCATAGTCTGCGCGCGTCTTCAAGAGTTTGTGATCAAGTCGAAGTGTTATCCAACAAGAGTTAGTTTAGCTTAAGACTCTTTCAAATATTTCTTTACGTGTAATTCAAAGTTTAATCTTTCTGTTGTAACTTTGATGTTCAAATAGCCTTGTAAATAGGGATTTCAATGTCCTGATGTAATCTCCCAAGCTTCAATAGGTTGTTTGACATTAGCTTCAATTTTTTTGCGATTATCTGCGATGGTTTCAACGACAACACTATCATTAGGGGTTTTTTTTTTTTTTTTTTTTTTTTTTTTATGATGGTCATCATCTAACCAAAACTTGTAGCCAAACACTATTTTTAACTCCATAAGGGTATTTTTGTATTTTCAAAACTTATATCATGACTGTTAGGGTTTTTTTTTTTGTCACGGAGGAAGGCTTGTGAAATGATTTTAAAACGTTTGGGGGTGTCTGTGATATGTTGAAAAACTGAGGCAGTTTTGTGAAAACACAAAAAATCTCAGGGGGTGTACGTGTAATTAACCCTATATAGAATATACACAACTAATATCAACGTTTTCTCCTGTCTTTAATATTTTACCTTCACTTATTACAATAGTAATTTTTTCTTCATATTTTTTTTTCCGTTTCTTCATGCAACTTGATTTAGGGTGGAGTGGACAAGTGAGGTTCGTATAAAAAATATATATTCTTTTATCTTGAATAAAAAAAATTATTATAGTACTGATTTAATGACATAATTTGAGATTCATAAAAGAAACAAATAAAAAAACAAGTTTGTAGTGTTTTTTCTCCTCAATCAAAATAGTTTGAGATATTGGCGAGAAATAAATAGTTTAAGATCCCCTCCCCTTAGTATTTATTAATGTAGATTTCGTACTCAAAATAATAACGGGAAAATACCCCATCAGCCAATCTTCTGCTTTCAAATTAAGCATGCTAGCTGATGATCCATATTGAAATGTCTTCAATACTCCATGAACCCATCCTTACATAAATTTCTTGATTGCGTCAAATAGTGTATGCTCTTTCTTTGTCCATCAAAACATCTTATGCACGTCAGTAAAAGCTTAAAATAGAGTCTTGTTTATGTGTAATGTTGACCCAACAGACTTAGCTTAGTCTCCACAAATTTTATAGGCCCAACTTAAAAAATAAACAAAAATAGAATCTATTATCTGCTCATTATTCTTTTGATGAAGATCGGTGGTGATGTTAAAGGACAGAACTTGAATTGGAATTTTGGTATTCTATTCTTCCTTTATCTTTGTCAAGAAATCATGCATCTTCACAAGAAATCATGCGTCTACAAGAAAATTTTGCTTTTCTTGATATGCATATTTTGTTATTTTCGCATTTTATGAAGTTTTTGGATACCAAGCACAGAAGAAAACGTTATGTAATTTATTTCATTAATTAAAAGAACATGTAAATGAGAAGAAAAAAAACTTATTAGATGGCTGGCACCGACCGAAGAAAACTTTGTGCATATTGTAATTTGTATTCTAAGATTGAATTATCAAGGACCCCCATATCCATGCAAATTTTGTGGTGTACTTGAAACATGATTATGTGACATTACTATTTCGCTCAAACTATAATATGTGAAGTTATTTATTTTAAATATACCATAGAAAATGAAATTACTCAATGTCGTTCACTCTTATTATGTTGAAGTATAATTATTGGAAGATATTGGAGTGGGAAGATATGCATGGGAACTCTATGGAGTGACTGATGGACCTACTTGTCATGGGTATGGTCACAGTAATGGCTCCCTCAAATTAAGGATTAGTTGACTTGTTGATATGTTTTTTAGTTGTTTGATGAAATCCCTTGATTTAAGGATGTTGATAGCTTTAGGGTTTAGGGAATGGTTGCTTGTAATCGGTTCCCTTTCCTCTCTTCCCTATATATCCTGCCGTGTCCTTTCATTCATCCATCTATGAAAAATATAATTCAAACAAACTTAAAATTCAACATGGTATTAGAGCAGGTTTTGTAACCTGCCTCTAGCCATTATTCTTTATGTTGCATCCTTCCTTCAACCTTAAGCCATGGCTGAGGAAGATTCAGTAAATATTGAGGGTGACAACTCGCATACCTCTCCTTCAAATTTCTCAGACATTGAGATTAACACAAATCATCATTTGTGTTCAGCCTTGCTGAATGAGTACAACTACCTACCGTGGTCTCATGCAGTTTCACTTGCCCTAGGAGGAAAAGAAAAGCTTGATTTTATAAATGGAATCATCGAAGCTCTTGAAATCAACTCACCAACTTATGAGGTTTGGCTATGCAAATATCAGCTCGTCATGTCTTTACTTCTCAATACTATGGAGAAGCATGTTGCAGAAATATTCAGTTACTCGGAATCCTCACGAGATTTGTGGAACTCAGTGAAGGACATGTATGGAAACCAAAACAACTATGCAAGAGTGTTTCAACTAAAGAAAGACATTGCAAGTGTTCAATGTCACATCTCGACCCAGGGCGGATCACTTCCCGGGCCCGTTCCATCACCGTAGCACGATATTGTCCGTTCTTACCATTCCCTCACGGTTTTGTTTATGGGAACTCACGAGCAACTTCCCAGTGGGTCACCCATCCTAGGAGTGCTCTGGCCTCCTTCTCGCTTAACTTCGGAGTTCCTACGGAACCCGAAGCCAGTGAGCTCCCAAAAAGCCTCGTGCTAGGTAGGGATAGGAATATACATTTAAGGATCGCTCCCCTGGGCGATGTGGGATGTTACATTCAACAAGAAGGGAAGTCCTTTGTGCAACATCTTGGCAGCCTGAAAACTATGTGGAATGAAATGGATGCATATCTTCCACACATCACAGATGCAAGTATCCTACCAAAAAGAGGTGAGAAAGACAAGATATACGAACTTCTGAGAAGCTTAAGTTCTGAGTATAAGGATCTTAGAAACCACATACTTATGAGCCAAGAACTGCCAAGCTTTAAAAGTGTGTGTGCTACTGTCCAACGTGAAGAAGCTAGAAAGAAAGCTATGAATGGTGAGACAAGTTTAAGGTCAACTGAAGCTCGAGCCTATCTGTAAACCAAAAAATATATAAGGGTAAGAATACTTATCTCAAGTGTACCTACTGTGATGGTGTTGGTCATATGAAAGAAAAATGCTAAATCCTTAATCCCGAGTTGAAGCCAAAATTCACCAATGAAGGGAAGATAATTCCATCAAGCCACTTTAAGAGTCAACAGGCAGCAAACTTCACCTTTGAGGTCTCTCTTGGATCCATGGACTTCACTACAAATCCTATGACTCTTATAAACGAGTTTGTTGCGTACCTGCAAATCAAGGGGCATAAGAATGCTACATCAACCTCTCAAACTGAGGATGGAGGACACACTGCCATGCTAAGGCAGTTTGCAGGATTCCTTGCAAATAGCATATCTACAACGCATGAAAAAGCCTCAGGTATACTCAAAGTTTTCTCCACTGCTTTACAAACAAGCACTGAACATGATTGTTAGATTGTTGACTCTGGTGCTACTGACCACATAACAAACAAACTTTCAAATTTACATGTTTTTCAAGCATTCAAAAAACCTTCACTAGTGTCAGTTGCAAATGGAAAAAATGTGTCAGTTTTGGGTAAGGGAAAAGCTAGTATATTCACAAATAGTAATGAGTCATTAGCCCTTTATGTTCCCTCATTTCCTTTCCAATTACTTTCAATAGGAAAGATTACAAACTCCTTAAATTGTCATGCCATTTTCTCACCAAACAAGGTTATTTTTCAGGATATCATCACCAAGAAGATGATTAGTGAAGGATTCCTTCTTAATGGTCTTTACTACGTGTGCAAATATTATGTCATGCCTAGAGCCTTTCAAGCCAGACCCGAGCATTTTGAACATCAACAACTATGGCACCAAAGACTTGCTCACCCATCTGAACTTGTGTTGTTAAAACTGTTTCCCATGTTTTGTTAGTCATCACTTAAATGTGAAACATGTCATTTTTCAAAGTCTGTTAGACTACCTTTTGGCACTTCTGCTTTTAAGACATGTAAACCATTTGAGATGGTACACACTGATGTTTGGGGACCTACAATTGAATCAATGGATGGTTATAAATTTTTTGTCATATTTGTTGATGATTTCACTCATACCACCTTTCTATACCTTATGAAATCAAAAAGTGAGGTTTTCTACATATTCAAAGATTTCCATAACCTTGTACAAACTCAACACAACTCAACCATTAAGATACTTAGGTTGGGCAATGGCACTAAGTTTCTATTCAATAACATGGTTTAGTACTTGAGTTCACAAGGGATCATTCACCAAACTAGTTGTGTAGGAACACCTCAACAAAATGGGGTATCAGAAAGAAAGAATAGATACCTACTTGAAAAAACTCGAGCATTAATGTTGCACATGAATGTTCCCAAGAGATATTGGTCACATGTTGTTCTCACTGCTACCTATATAATCAATAGACTTCCAAGTAGAGTATTAGGGTTCAAAATTCCACATGAAACCTTACACAATAAGGCAGTCAACTTGGCCCATTTTAAAACCTTTGGTTGCAACTGCTTTATTCATGTGCAAGCACCTAATCGTGACAAGTTGGAAGCTAGAGCAATGAAGTGTATCTTTGTTGGATACTCACCAACTCAGAAAGGAAACAAATGTGTTGATCCTATCATGAAGAAGTGTATTATGTCTAGGGATGTTCGTTTTGATGAAACGGTACCCTACTATAAAAGAAAAGGGACTCATAATGATGAAAGTGAGACCTTGAGTGATTTGTTTCCCATACCAAGAGTGACTGATCACGATACTTTAGAAAAGGATCACCTTTTTTATTGTCAAAACATTGAAGAAGTTCAAGCTGACTTGATTCCAAGTGTGAACCAACTACACTCTTCATCCATTAGTGAGCATGTAAGTGAAGTGCAAGCAAGCTCAACCCCTTCACAGTCAACCACACCTCAAGAGACTAGGAGATATCCCATTCGAACAAGAAAGCCACCGGTCAAGTTGGTGGACTATGTTACTTATGCCTCAAGGCATCCCCTCACTAAGA